GGGGGGATGGTGCCACCCGGCTCCACCCAGTCAAAGTGCTGAAGTGCTGGCGAGCCGCAACTGTGCACTTGCGCGGCCACTGTCATTACGCAGTGGCGTGATCGGTTATAACCTGCAGAGTTAAACCATGGCTTTTCTGTAAGCCCCAGATGTCTTAACTGCCGCACCGTCGGCGCCTTTTCGAGGTCACGTTCGCCGTCGCCAGCCTGTTGGTGGTGAAGGTGCAGTCGGGTATTGACGGCGGGCGGAAAGGTTCGGATGGTTGGTGCCAGACTTTTGCGCCAGTACCGAAGACGAGGCAAGGCAGGACAGCTACATGTGAGCTTGGTCATCACTGGCTTCGGCATAAAAAACTGTGCCTCAACCGAAGACGGCTGCCTTCAGACGTCGCATGTCACACGACATGTGCACCGGCATCAAAAAGTTGTGTGTCTCGATCAATTAAGAGTTATAAATGCATCATCGGGATGAAACCAAGTAAGTCCTGCGTTGGTGCACAGCTAGTGGTCTGACACCAGTTTCATCAGCAATGTTCGGCCGCCTTTGGCTGTAGGGCCGATAAAATAGAGCAACTCACGATAACCAGATCGTTGCATCAGTCGGAGCAGCCTGTGTTGTGCGTCATTTCCTGGCAAATGTTGTACTGCAGCTCAGCAGACGTCACGTACATATCGTCCTTTTGAAACGTGCAGCTATTGGCCGCATGCTCTCACCCACGCAATCGACAAGACCAATAGCGGGCGAGGCAGACCAGGAACAACGACATGGCTTGGCAGAGCACGGTGATGGCGAGTCATCTGATGTTAATGCGATCATTCTATCATCGGTCAATGCGTTGTCAAATGAGGCGCACTCAGCAGCGATACGCAGTTGGACCTCTGACAGGCCTTACAAGCGAATGTGGCCCGGATCAGTCGTCTGCAGCTCAATAGATTTGCTCGTACGACGCACGTTGTACCACGCTAATAAGCGTCTCACGTTAGTATTGTATACAACGAAGCAGAGGTCCTTTTGAAAGCTTGACATCAGATTGCTTGCCATCAGTCCGGACGTCAGAGGATATTGGATTTTTCATATCGATATTAACAAATGGTATTGCATCGGACCGGCACGTTTTCTCCGTGCCTGGCGTGATGACAGTTCTATTTGGTATTAGCTTGGAGCGCGTTACATCGCACGCTACGGCGGACATTCTAGCCTTGATACGACATTGCGCATGATACCCCTCACCTGATTTACGCGTCCCATCTTACACCAGACATTGTACATCGCACACACCCCCAGACGTACACGTATTACTCTCCACCAGACTTACACACAACGCCGTCCAACAGACATAAATGTCACACCCTTCACAAAGCGTACGGTTCACACACATCCTTTTCTGGACTCACGGGGTCACACCCCTCACCAGACTTACGGGTCACACCCCTCACCAGACTTACGGGTCACACCACTCAACAGACTTACGGGTCACACCCCTCATCAGAGTTACGGGTCACACCTTTCACCAGACCTACGGTCACACCCACAACCAGACTTGTGGGTCACACCTCTTACCAGACTTACGGGCAACACCCATCACCAGACTTGCGCAGTCCGACGCCGCCGGGCCCTGCTGTGGTTTCTGCATGTCACCTAACACCCTGGGAGCCGGTGCCGAGTATTGGTGGCCGCTCGCGGCCGCCGGGCTGCCGGCTGGAGTTCAGCCTGCTAACGCGCCGTCGCTGTTGGCACCGCCGGCCGGTGTCGGTCCGGCTCCAGGCAGAGGGCGGTCACCGGCGCCCCCCCCCCCCTACCCGGTCACCCCTGGCGGTCCCGGGACGCCCCGGTGACATTTGGCCGGGGCCCGCCCCGGCGTCGCTCGCGGGGCCTGGCTCATCGGCTCACATCGCGTGGGGCCTGCTTATTTACCCGCCGTCACGTGCCGTGACTGGGATCCCCGGCTCTTCCGGGGGCACCGACCGGAACGCCCCGGTTATGGCATGCCCCGTCGCGAAAACAAAATCGTAAAACGCGTAATCCTTCAGCGAACGGGAAATCGGTCGGCGGCACGGCATGGAGCTGAGGGCAGTTGCCCGTTTTTCAGCCCTGCAATGGATTTAATTAAAATACGGTTCATAAAGAACAACAACTTTTACGTCTTGCTCTGCTAGCTGGCAGAGGTGGAGTGAGTTTCAACAGACTACATTAAACCTATGAACTTAAAGGAATTGGACGCTGGCAGCTCACAATAAAGTGAAAGTTTACCGAGGTGGGAAAGTGGATATTGCGGTGAGATTACTTCGATAATTTGAAACAAACAGACCCATTAAGATAACAAATAGACCGATTAAACGGCGTGGAAAGCTAAAAAAGCATGCAAAGTGGGCTGTTTATGCAGCCTTTATCCACGCCTCATCACGTCAGACAGCTCAGAAGCGCGAGAGTTGATATCTATGGAGCGCAGGAGCACGACGGCTCCAGTCGCTATGGATCGTAGGAGCACGCCGGCTCCGACCACTACAGATCGCAGGAGCACGCCGGCTCCGACCACTACAGATCGCAGAAGCACGCCGGCTCCGACCACTACAGATCGCAGGAGCACGCCGGCTCCAACCACTACAGATCGCAGGAGCACGCCGGCTCCGACCACTACAGATCGCAGGAGCACGCCGGCTCCGACCACTACGGATCGCAGGGGCACGCCGGCTCCGACCACTACGGATCGCAGGAGCACGCCAGCTCCGACCACTACGGATCGCAGGAGCACGCCGGCTCCGACCACTACGGATCGCAGGAGCACGCCGGCTCCGATCACTACGGATCGCAGGAGCACGCCGACTCCGGCCACCATGGATCGCAGAAGCACGCCAGCTCCGGTCACTATGGATCGCAGGAGCACGCCGGCTCCGGCCATCATGGATCGCAGAAGCACGCCAGCTCCGGTCCCTATGGATCGCAGGAGCACGCTGGCTCCAGCCACCATGGATCGCAGGAGCACGCCAGCTCCAGCCACCATGGATCGCAGAAGCACGCCAGCTCCGGTCACTATGGACCGCAGGAGCACGCCGGCTCCGGCCATCATGGATCGCATGACCACGCCAGCTCCAGCCACCATGGATCGCAGGAGCACGCCGGCTACACCCAGCAACGCGTTGCGCAGGGTCTGCCCGTGCAGCCTTGCACCTGTGTCACGGCCATGGTATGCAAAGAGTGACGTTGGTACATACATTGGCATCCCCAATGCCCCCCCCCCCCCCCTGCTCCACGCGTGTCCTTTGGAGCTGTCCGCAAGGATCTTGCCTGTTGGATCGTCACGCCGTGGAAAGAAATGACACTTCCATTAACAAAGTTGATGTTAATATTTCATGCTGAAAGAAATGCATGGTACAAAGCATGGGAAAACTAAGTCCCCAA